CCAGGAGAATCCATCCAGGGAAATCCATCCAGGGAAATCCATCCAGGGGAATCCATCCCAGGGAAATCCATCCAGGAGAATCCATCCAGGGAAATCCATCCAGGGAAATCCATCCCAGGAGAATCCATCCAGGGAGAATTCATCCAGGGGAATCCATCCGGGGAATCCATCCAGGGAAATCCATCCAGGGAAATCCATCCAGGAGAATTCATCTAGGGAAATCCATCCAGGGAAATCCATCCCAGGAGAATCCATCCCAAGGGAATCCATCCAGGGGAATCCATCTCAGGGAAATCCATCCCAGGGGAATCCATCCAGGGAGAATCCATCCAGGGGAATCCATCCAGGGGAATCCATCCAGGAGAATTCATCTAGGGAAATCCATCCCAGGAGAATCCATCCAGGGAAATCCATCCAGGGAAATCCATCCCAGGGAATCCATCCCAGGGAAATCCATCCAGGGGAATCCATCCAGGGAAATCCATCCAGGAGAATCCATCCAGGGGAATCCATCCCGGGAATCCATCCAGGGAAATCCATCCGAGGAGAATCCATCCCAGGGAAATCCATCCAGGGGAATCCATCCAGGAGAATTCATCCCAAGGGAATCCATCCAGGGAAATCCATCCCAGGAGAATCCATCCAGGAGAATCCATCCCAGGAGAATCCATTCCAGGGAAATCCATCCAGGGGAATCCATCCAGGAGAATCCATCCCAGGAGAATCCATCCCAGGGAAATCCATCCAGGGGAATCTATTCAGGGGAATCCATCCAGGAAATCCATCCAGGAGAATCCATCCCAGGGAAATCCATCCAGGGAAATCCATCCCAGGAGAATCCATCCAGGGAAATCCATCCAGGGAATCCATCCAGGGAAATCCATCCCAGGGGAATCCATCCCAGGGAAATCCATCCCAGGAGAATCCATCCAGGGAAATCCATCCAGGGAAATCCATCCAGGGGAATCCATCCCAAAGGAATCCATCCCAGGGAAATCCATCCAGGGGAATCTAT